GGCGATTCAAATTAGACCTCGCCATCCCTGGGGGGCTGCGATCTGCGAAACTGTCGCCATTTTCGAGGCCTGCTGGGGGGCCCAGCACAGTGAGGGCCACGCGCAGATTCAAATTAGACCTCGCCATCCCTGGGGGGCTGCGATCTGCGAAACTGTCGCCATTTTCGAGGCCTGCTGGGGGGCCCAGCACAGTGAGGGCCACGCGCGATTCAAATTAGACCTCGCCATCCCTGGGGGGCTGCGATCTGCGAAACTGTCGCCATTTTCGAGGCCTGCTGGGGGGCCCAGCACAGTGAGGGCCACGCGCGGATTCAAATTAGACCTCGCCATCCCTGGGGGGCTGCGATCTGCGAAACTGTCGCCATTTTCGAGGCCTGCTGGGGGGCCCAGCACAGTGAGGGCCACGGGCAGATTCAAATGAGACCTCGCCATCCCTGCGGGGCTGCGATCTGTGAACCTGTCGCCACTTTCGAGGCCTGCTGTGATCCCCGTTTTCGAAGTGGCTAGGAGTGCTCAGGAATTGTAAATCATCAGCTTTATCAAGCCCTTTTCCTGTAGCCAGTGTCCTGCGAGTCTCCCGAATTCCGTCTGCAGACATATGTAACCCTCGCTCCGTCATCGCCCCCTTATAAAGTATCCTAAACTATTTGCGCCCCGCTTTTGCGCAGGGGTTGGGTACGTCGCCAGGGTAATTTATTTTTCGTCGAAAATCCCCCTGTAGGGGGACAGGCCCGACTTAACCCTACCCCCACCCCCCCCGATTTCTGAGGGGGAGGGCGGGGGTTCACTTCGCTCGGGAGCTCCCGAACGAAGTGAACCCCACCCTCCCCCTCAGAAATCGTGGGGGGGCAGGGGGCAGGGCTCGCCTGTGGCCCCCTGTGCGCCGCCGTCCGCGTCGGCCCCGTCGGCGTCGCCCCTGCCCGTGCGGGCACGCCGCCCCACCCGCGCGCGATCCCCTGGCACCCGACGCGTCCGCAGCCCGCGCGGGCGACGCCGCTCTCTGCCGCCGGCGCGCTGGCGAAGGGAACCCCTTTCGTTGGGGAGGGGCTCGGTGTTCCTTCCCAGACATGATACCGTCGTGGAAAAATCAGGACGGGAGGTTTTTGGCTATTTTCGGCCCCAGGGAGCCCTCGCCGGGCCTCGGGACTGTCAAAAAACGACTCAGGACGCAAAATCGGTCCCGGGGAACGGGTCGGGACTTCCAGTTACGCCGCCCTGAAAAAATCAGGACTTCGCATGTCTGGGTTGATTGCTTCACATCAATCGGGTATGGCCAGGACCCCGGGTAAGGGGACCCGGTTCGTGGTCGGGCCCTGGGGCCCCTCAATTGGCCAGAAGCACTAAACCAGGTCTGCCGTAGCTGGTGTTTGTCGGGGGACGGCAGTTCCGGTTCGTGGAAATGGAGCGGGGGGGCGCTCCCGGTACAATCACTAAACCAGGTTCCATTAAACCCAGCTCTGCCAACGCCCGAATCAAGTGAGGAAAAAGTCACCCAGACCGGACCATTCACGTTTACTAAAAGGCCCCGTGCGTCTACGAAGCAGCCCCGCCTTGTGCGATGCCTTCCCTGGGTGCGTTTACCAAGCGGCTTTGCTTGTCGGGCTGACTTTTATGGGTTTTTTTTTGGGGGGGGCCTCTATTACAGTTTGCCTCAGGTGTTCCTGAGGTTCTCCATGGGACATCGAAGTTTGATTTATGGGAAGAAGGGGACTCGTTACTTATTTAGGGTTCCTTGGGTCAACGCCCCGACAGTACTCCCGCTCGCCCTGCCGTCTCGCGCCCACCTGCGCGTGGCCGACCCGCACGTCGTGACCGCCACCCTCCTAGAGTGCGAGAGCCTGGGGTCTGCGCCCCCGGCTCGCCTTCCCACCCCACCTGCACCACCTGCACGCCCACCTACCTGCACGGTTTCCCCCGGGGCCGTTGGCGACCCGAGAAGGAGGAGGAGGAGGAGGAGGAGGAGGAGGAGGAGGAGGAAGGAGGAGGAGGGAGGAGGAGGAGGAGGGAGGAGGAGGAGGAGGAGGAGGGAGGAGGAGGAGGAGGAGGAGGAGGAGGAGGAGGAGGAGGACGGGTCGCATAAGCCCTCCAGAGAAACAAACCCTCCACACCTGCCATGCGGCCCCCGTCACGTGCTGCAAGCGTCGTGCCCTCCAGCCGCTTCGCCCGTCCGCCCACGGGTCGCGCAGCCTCCAGTGCCGCTCAGCCCGCTGCTGCGCCCGCCGCCGGCCGCAGCAGGGGGGGGCCCTCACCGGCGCTTTCAGCGCTTTCTGCTGCCCCAGACATCCCAGGCGCCCCATCGTCATGGTGATCGTTTGCTTATTCATTGCTTTGCCGATCGGCGCGGGCCCCCACCCCCCCCCCTTCCACCCCCCCCCCTGGAGTAGATCTCGGCTGTTTTTGGCGCATGTTTCGAGCAGGCGGAGCCTCTCCAATAATAGACGCACTGCTGCTGCAAACAGTCGCACTGAGCAGAGGTCCAGAGCCCTCCCCCCCTTCCCCCCCCGTTCCTCCCAATGTCGAAACGCCGATTAAAAAACGCTCACCATGGCTTGATCCCCGCCCTGATGGACCCACAGCGGGCCCCCTTGACAACGATGATGCTGCCTACTTGCACCAGTGCACGGCTGGCCAGATTTCCCTACAGTGCCAGGGCACCACCGCGTCCGCTCGGGCGACTGCGTCGGGCTGGAGTTTGTAGACGCTTTACCGCCTCAGGGGCGGACAGCGTGTCCCAGCCACTAACCTACCCTCACTCTCGCTTTACTCGCTTGCTGAATTGGAACGCTTCATTGACTTCCTCACTCAGTAAGCCTACGCTGACGGGCACCCCGCCGACGCGGATCCCGCCCCACGTGGGACCCCCTCGTGACGGCGGGGCGGCCACCCGCTGAAGCGCCCTGCATCCCGGGTACCCGCTGGGACTGTGCCACGACGGCGTTTGCAGTATTGGTCGGGGGCGGCAAAGAGGGGGGTGATAACTAGGGGGGGATATCATGGCGGGGGCCATGATATTTTTCCAGATTTCTTGGCGCCATTTCTTATTCCCTACCTAGGCTCTGCCTAGAAGGGTTCTTACTCTCTTAGCTTAAAGGGCCGGGCAGTGCTAGTCGCCCCGGGCGGTTCCCCCGGCATCCGCGCCGCGGTTCCCCCAGTCCCGTGGGAGTTTGAACTTTAGCTTTATATTTAGCTTAGTTTTAGCTTAGCTTTAGCTTAGCTTTAAGCTGTAGCTTAGTTTTAGCTCAGCTTTAGCTTAGACTTAGCTTACATTTAATTTAGTTTTGGCTTAGCGTTAGCTTAGCTTTATCTTAGCTTTAGCTTATATGTAGCTTAGCGTTACCTTAGCTTTAGCTTAGCTTTAGCTTAGCCTTCGCTTAGCTTTACCTTAGATTTAGCTTAGCGTTAGCTTACTGTATGCTAAGATATCGATTCGATTTAGCTTAGCGTTCGCTTAGTTAGATTAGCTTCAGCTTAGCTTTAGCTTAGCTTTAGCTTAGATGTAGCTTAGCTTTAGCTTAGCTTTAGTTAGCTTTAGCTTAGCGTTAGCTCAGCTTTAGCTAAGCCTTAGCGCAGCTGTAGCTTAGCTTTAGCTTAGCTTTCACTTAGCTTTTGCTTAGCTTTTGCCTAGCTTTTGCCTAGCTTTAGCTTAGCTTTAGTTTAGCTGTAGCTTAGCTTTACTGCTACTACTAATGCTGCTTTCCTAGGGGCTCCAACTCCTAGGTAGGGTCGCACTGGGATACTTTCATCACGTCCCTGGCCCCCCCGCTGGGCCGCGCACATGCCGCCGGCCATGATTTGCACCCCCCCCTCTTGGACGTCCCCCTCGTGGCCGCTCCCGAATTGGAGGCCTGGTGCCTTGCACACGAGCGTATGTTCGCGGGTGGCTTTCCATCTGGCGCCTGCCCTTTTCGCCTTGGACCCCTGCGGCTCCCCCTGGGAGGGCTTCTGCGGCCCCCGGCTCTGCAGCCGGGCCTCCCCGCAGGTCCCGCTGTCTGACAAGGACCTCCTCCTCCTCCTCCTCCGCAGTTCCGGACCGCCTCCTCTCACCTCGGCCAGCTTCCCTCGGCGAGCACCCCGGTGCGCTCACACGGCCCTCCTGTGCATGTTCAGCTCTCTCCATCGTGGCCCCCTCGCCCTCTGCGCGCCCAGCCCTCCACAGTTCTGGGGTGCGGCCGTCCCCGTTGGGCCTTCGGACCGGCCGGCTTGCGGGTCGGCTTGTTCTCGGCCGAGCTTCTGGCGGCCCGACGGGCCTGCCAGCGCCGCGACCTCTGCGGTGCGGCCTTTGGGCGGTGTTCTCGCCGCCACTGCTGGCCTTCGGCTTCCTTGCGCCTTCTCCTGCCGTTCTGCCAGTCGTCTGGCAGCTGGCACTGCGTATCTTATCTGCCCATCCGGTCCTCCATGGCTGGATGACCGATGGCTGGCTGCGCGCGCTGTTCGCTCTGAGCGGCTTAAGGGCTCGGCCGCTAGTCGCGCGCGCGCGTTGTCTTCTCCGACTTCGGACGCCCTGTCGCTGCGCGCGGGGCCGCGACGCCAAAAATCACCACCCACCGAACCACCTCAACCTAACCCGAAGGCCCCAATTCGCCTGCCATTCCAGGAGAGAGGGGGCGTCGGGGAACAATTTAAAAAACACACATGGAACCCGTACTCCCCCAAACCCGAAATTGGGGTCTTCGGGTTAGGTTGGGGTGGTCTGGTAGGTAGTCAAAAAAGTAAGTGCGTGTGTGTAAATGTGGGTGTGAGTGCGGGTGTGGGTGTCCGTGTGCGCCTGTGTCTGTGTGTTCCCATGCGCAAATTCCCCCCTCGTCCGAACGCATGTGTAATTAGTTTGGGCAAGGCGTTGAAACATGCAGGCTGTGGCTCATCATTCGTATGTCTCCCGCCAGCCTTTGTGGACCCAGGATGCCAATACGCACGTATCTTTGTCGATCGAGTCGAGCAAGTTGAGAGCGAAAGAGTCACGACAGGGGTGGGTGCATCAAACGGGCAGTCGTTTTCGCCAGGCGAACATGCCAAGGAATCGCTCTTGTCCTGCCGTGGATGTTCATCGTGCTGGAGGGGAACAGGGGGAGGCGGGCAGGGCAAGACCGGGCAGGCAAGGATCTCGCATCGTGGTTTGATCCAAGTTGTTGACTCTGTTCCACTGGCTTCTGCAAGGGAGGGTGCGTGATGATGTCCAGGCTTGCTCTGGTGTCCATTGGTGGGCAGCGCTGGTGATCCTGAAGCGTGGGAGAAGACAGGGCTACGTGCCAAGAGGAAGACTGACAAATGTCACGGGCGGCTTGGCTATGAGCGCTTCGAGTGGTTGGGCTCTGTCCCAGCGCCCGTGCGTCGGGAATCTCCTCTCCCTCCTGCATCTGCGGCGTCCTTACTGCTTTTTGGTCATGGCGCCGATTCGCTCCGCCAGATTTCCGTGGTGCCTTACATAGACAAAGCGTCCGCGTCGCCCGCTGAAGAAATTGGCATTGTCAACGAAATCTGAAATGTGCTTGCAAAGTCCCAGCCAGGGCACCTCCTTCTGTCCTTGGTCGTGCGAGTGCTCGGAGGGGATGGGGACATCTGGGCAATCCCTTGGGCACTCTTGAGGCGCTCCTGGGGACTACAGTTATTCCTTGGAGATCTCTTGGGCTCTTCTTCAAGTTTCCAGGCGGTCCAGCATTACATGTATCGAAGTCCGTTGTTGGAAGTGTTCGAGAGGGTTGGACAGCTCAACAGGTCAATGATTACTCCAGTGAGATGCAAAGGTCTCCAGCGCAGTGAGAGGAGGGGAAGGGATGGAGAGGATGATTACTTGAGGAGGGGAATGGTATGGTATGGTATGGTATGGTATGGTATGGTATGGTATAAAGAAGGAGGGGGCGGAGGATGAGGAGGAGGAAGTGGAGGAGGAGGGGAAGGGATGGAAACGGAGGCCAGGAGAGGGGGGACGATGAGTAAATCGCATGGGGAACGGCACGGAATGGAGTTGAGATGGGATGCATGGGAGGAGAGTCATTGCGAGGAGGTTGAGAAAATCCTACTGTGCGCGTGTGGATCCAGCGCATGCGTGTATATATATATATATATGCACACACACATACCCACATACATACACATACACACATCTACGTTACATACGTGTATACTCATATATGTAAGCGCACATATACGTAGGTATGCATGTACATGTATATACATATAGGTAGAACCACTCATCTGTATCTATATATGTATATATACACATATGCGTAGCTGTATATACACATACACCTATACACAGACGACCTATATATTTAGACATATGTGTGCCCACACACACATATACACATGTAGAACGGGGCCAACCCGTGGTCGGAGGATCGCGCCGCATCGCCGATGCATCGACGATGTGGCCAGATGTGGAGCCCGTGTTTCCCCACGCCGACGTCGCCGGCGCATCGCCGGTGCGTCGCCGGTGCGTCGCCGGTGCGTCGCCGAAGCATCGCCGAGGCATCGCCGAGGTGGCGGCGATGCGGCGCGATCCTCCGGCCGCCACAGGCCCGGGGCGCCGGCGGCGGCCTCGGGCTCCGCCGCGCCCCCCCCGCGGCCGCGCGGCGCGCTCGGGGTGCCTGCGGCTCCTCTGCCTGTCGCCCTCTGGGCGGGGGTGCGGGCCGCGCCAGGGCTCCATCCTGAAGGGCAGGCGGTATCCGTATTTTCCCATGGTGGGCCGGGGCCCAGACTTCGGGTGGGCTCGGAGGCGGCGACGGGGGCGAGTGGCCCATTGAGGGAGCAGTACACGTCAGCCACGCGCCGAGGGGGTTGGGGGGGAGGGCTTCTCAGGAGCACCCCTGCCTCTTCGAAGGCGCGGACCTCAGCTGCAGATGTGTGAGGCCGGCGCCTTCTGAGAAGCAGCCTCCCTCTAAGAAGCCCTCCCCCCTCCCTCCCACCTCCTCGCGCGCGCTGCCAAGCATGTATGCCCCGGGGCGTCGGTGGTCCGTGTCTTCGGCGAGGCCCCATCGGGGGGATGCGTGTAACGCGCCCGCCCCGGGGCCACGCGCCCGCAGCGTCGCCTCCGATGGGCTGGATTTTTGAACTTCGGCCTTCTCCTCCTCCTCCTCCTCCTCCTCCTCCTCCTCCTCCTCCTCCTCCTCCTCCCGCCAGCGCGCCGCCGATTCTGGCCTCAGAGGGCACCTTTTCGGGCCCTGGGGCCATCAGGCGTGGATCTGAGGCGAGGAGCTCACCCGTGGGTGGGGTCGGGACATTCTCGGGGCTCGCGGAGGGCAGAACCAGTCCTTCCAGAGTCTGGCGGGTGCATTTGGCAGGCTGACGTTGGAGAGGTGGCCCCCTCATCAAGCAGTGACGAAGTGTCCTGGCTCGCCTATGGGACTACCAAAGAATGTTATAATAATTGTTTGAGGTCTGCACGAAATTGTTTCAGAACAATTCTGGCCGAGATTGTTTTGTTTTAACACATCGGGTTCATGTTCCAAGAATATTGCTTTTGCTATTAGAACCTCTGTGGGTTCTAAGAACATTTTGTGGTAGGCCTATAGGAATGCTGGGGCGGTCGGTCCCTGCTCAACCCTAGATCCTCGCGGAAAGATCGAGTCGTCCATTTCGTTCACGTTGCATCTTCGGGGGGAGCCTCCCTTGTTCCCAAAATTTGTGCCTTTTCTTGTGTTCGACGCGGGCTCAATGCGGACTCGACGCGGATGTGGCGTGAATTCGACGCGGATCCGACACGTATTCGACACGGAGCCGACGAGGCTGATATGGATTCGACACGGATTCGATGCGGATAGGGCCGCGACGGGGCAGGCAAGGTCCCCGGAGGATGCAACAGAATTTTGTCCGTGAGTTCTGCCGCTCCGGAAGCCCGTTTCGGGCCCTGGGACCGTCATATCGGGTGCTGCTAGAAGTGCCCCCGACCCGAGGTGCCCCCAGGATTTCCAGGGAGGCTCCCCACGGACTCCAGAGTGTCCCTCACGAGGCCCAGGGGGCCCAGGGGCTCCACAATGGAGCCTGGGGTACGTTGGGGCACGTTGGGCCTGGGGTACTTTTGTCCCCCCCCATCCTCGAAGGTGGCAGGATGCGGCGTGGGATGTGAGGTGCGCGGGAGCAGGGTCTGCGACCTTGGTGGTGCCGCTCGGGGACGCCCTCTGGCGTGGCGACGTCTGCAGCCTGATGGCTTGTAAGCAGGGCTGGTTCTTGTTCCTCATCTTGTGATCCTTAGCGATCTTCAGGCTCCCGGGCTCCAGCAGCTGCACGGACAGATGACGGCTACTGTTCAAAGTCGCGCTCTCGCCTCGGCGGCGCTCCCACTTCTCTTACAGCTCCCTGCTGCCAGCAACGCGGAGGGAGCTGTGCAGGAGAGCCGCGACACCTACAGCTGCAATATTTCCTCCCCCGTTCCCGTCCCTCATCTAGCCCTCATCTCCCTTCTCCCATCTCCCCCCCTTCCTTTCCTTCTCCCCCCTTCTTTCTTCTCCTCCTCCTCCTCCTCCTCCTCCTCCCCCTCCGCGTCTAGCCTTAATCTTCTTCTCCAGTCTCGCATGGGGATCGCTCTGCACTGCTAGCGTGTTCCCCAGTGTGGGTCCGAATGCCGGGCGCCACGGCGTCATCGCTCAGTCCCCGGAGGAATTGCGCTGCGGGTGTACGGAAACGCTGGGGTGTCTGGTCCTTCCCTCCCTCGAGGGTGCGTAGTGCGGGGGTTAGCCCTATGCGGGATTAGGGAGCGAACCCAGCTCGAGGTCGACATCTCCTTTGTCCCAGGGGCTGACCAGAGCGATTTTCCTCTGACGCCACCTCTCTTACCCTGCATTAACCGACCCTTCCTCTGCGTTCCTCGTCCCGCTGTCTCCCTGCGGAGCCCGGGCGGGGCTCTGGCGAAGCTAAACCCACTCGGGGAGCCCCCTTCATCTCTTTTGATTGCCTCCAGAGCGCTGCTGTTGACGGCTCTGTCTCGACGATCCACAGGCCTACTTACAGCGGTGGTGCAACGAACAAAGCATGTCCCCAGAGTTCCACGGTGGGGACGGCTGCTTCTGGAAGCTCCTGGAGGCCCGAACGCGGGCCAGAAATGCATCCAACATCGATTCTCCAGCCTCCTCCTTCCTTGCCTCTCCCTCCTTCCTGTATCCTGGCTCCGCCTTCCCCCTGGTCTTCCCCCTCCCCCGTCTCGCTGCCGCCCACCCATCCAAGTGCTCAGTTCTTGTCCCTTTACGGGGTGGGAAGGTGGGAGGAGTGTTCTCTTGTTCTTCGCCCTTGTCCCCTAGAAGAACAGAGAAAAAACACAGAGAAATGAGCAGGAGCAGTGTTTTCGGTTTCCTCGTCCTGGTCCCCTAGAAGAGCAGAGAAATACGCCCAAGCTGCATCAACGATGCTGCAATCCAGCCGGGCCGAGGTATACTGTCGAGGTCGGTTCGGAGAGGGTACCTTTTATGTTCTATTGTGTTTGTTGGATGTTCTTGCACACCCTGGGGGAGGGTAACCCTCGGCGATCTCATGGTTTGGTCTGGTTTGGCCGGCGGAGGGGCTCGTGTCCTGAAGAGTGGCGCCCTCTCGGGCCGTCTTGGGCCCTCTTGGGCCATTCCGGGGCGCTCTTGGGCCGTCTTGGGGCCCTCTCGGGCCGTCTTGGGCCCTCTTGGGCCGTTCTGGGGCGCTCTTGGGCCGTCTTGGGGCCATCCTGAAAGTCTGCTGTGCTGTTCTGGGGTGGTCTTGGGGGCCTCTTGGGCCGTCTTCCAGCAGCCCGCGAGGCGGGAGCGCACACGGCCTTCAAGAGCCCAAGGGGAGTCAAGGCTTTGCACCTATGACCTATGGGGGCCTCTTGGAGGCCTCTCGTGGCTTCATGGATGCCTCTTGGGCCTCGTGGAGCCCTCTCGGGCCGTCTTGGGGCCCTCTCGTGGTCTTTTCGGGCCGTCTTGGGGCCCTCTCGTGGTCTTTTCGGGCCGTCTTGGGGCCCTCTCGGGCCGTCTTGGGCCCTCTGGGGCCGTTCTGGGGCGCTCTTGGGCCGCCTTGGGACCCTCTTGCAGGTCTGTTGTGCTGTTCCGGGGTGGTCTTGGCGGCCTCCTTGGGCCGTCCTCGAGCAGCCGACGAGGCGGGAGCGCACACGGTCTTCAAGAGCCCAAGGGGAATCAACGATCTGCACCTATGGGGGCCTCTTGGAGGCCTCTTGTGGCGTCATGGATGCCTCTTAGGCCTCTTGGAGCGACCATGGGCGTCTTGGAGCGATCGTTCGGCGACTCGGGGCCCTCCTGGACTGATGGGAGGGTTCGGGAAGTCGCTTTGGGGTGGACAGCGTCCACAGGAGGCGCGGGAAACACATCAGAACTCATGGGAGCCAGCCTGGGAGACCTCGGAAATGCTTCGAACACGACGGGTCCGGGCCCGTACAGACTTACATGTCTCGCTGCAGAAGCAGCACAGCGTCGACTTCTCGCTCTCAGTGCTGCATGATCCTTGGAGCACTCCACTTCATGCCAGAGGAACGCTGGCGGAAAAAAACAATGGATGGAGGAAGAACAGAGGAGGAGGAGGAGGAGGAGGAGGAGGAGGAGAAGGAGCTGCAGCAGCAACAGAACGACGAGAACGACCTCCATGTCCCCCTCCTCCCCAAGCGTCCCCTCCTGTTCAGCCTCCCCCTCCTAATTCCCCTGCTCCCCTTCCTTCGTTGCAGCGAGGTCTCCTCTTCTGTGCCGGCCCCAGAGCCTTCAGTGACGCTGCCCGGCGCCTTGCAACACTCGCCGTTGTCCGCTCTGCGACCGCGCGGCCAGATCGTAGTGATGCTCCACATCGGCATTTTCTTAGGGATACTACGCATGACCATTTGCGCAGAAGGCGGCATATTTTTCGGTCGCAAGATGTTCTACCGGACTGCCACGCCGCAAGCGCGTTCTCTCTTCTTCTTTCGCCGTTGTTGCCGCGGCGTTTCTGTCCACTGCTACTCTTTCTCCCGCCGCTGTCCCTTTCTCGCCTCATCTCCTGATTCTCCTCCGCCTTGTGGTGCTCCTGGTGCTCCTGCTGCCGATCCACTTCAGGTGGCTCTCGACTGCGTTTCTTCTCCATTGCCTCCTCTTCCCTCTCCTGCTCAACGTGTTTCGCAACCCTCCTGTGTATTGGGTCCTCGTGTTGAACTCGCAGCGCTGCGCGTCTCCTTCCTTCCTCCCTCCGCTCCTCTTCCTCTTCACTCCTCCTTCAAGGTCCTCATCCTCTTCCTTCCTCTCCCCACCATCATCATCATCATCATCATTATTATTATTATCAGCAGCAGCATCAGCATCAGCATCATCATCATGAACATCATCATCATCATCATCAACATCATCATCAACACCAACATCTGCATCACCATCAATCTCATCATCAAACTCGTCATCACCAACATCATCATCATCCTCATCATCATCATGATCATCATCATCATCACCATCATCATCATCAGCATCGTTATTATCATCATCATCATCATCATCATCATCATCATCATCATCATCATCATCATCATCATCATCATCATCATCATCATCATCATCATCATCATCATCATCATCCTCATCCTCATCCTCATCCGCATCCGCATCCTCATCCTCATCCTCATCCTCATCCTCACCACCGTTGTCACCACTATCATCATCGCCACCACCGTCATCATTCTCATCACCGTTTCGGCGCACCCTCCACACGTTTCGTGGCCC